CCCGCCCCCGTAGTCACTGAAGCCTGACTCCGGCTCCGAGTGGGCGGGAGGCAGGTCCAGCTCCATGGCGTCTGAGTTGAGCATCATGATGGATGCCCCCTGCCCCGTGAGACCAGGATCCCCTCCCACCTCTCCCTCTGGGAGCCTGAGAGCTGGTTGTGGGAGAGGCAGGAAGGGCCTTGGGTGGTGGGGTCTGCCACTGAGCTAGAGAAGACAGAACCGCTTCAGGAGTCCATGGCCAGGGTTCCAGTTGGGAGCCTGAAAGAGAGAAGAGGACATTGGTGGGGAGGAAGGAGGGACAGCTCAGAGGTGAGGAGGGCCTCAGGAAGGTTTGAGATGGACTGGGAGGGGGGAAGTACCTAAGTGTGCGGGAGGAAGGGCAGAAGCAAAGGGGAGGTGAAGGGTAGGGGGACAGCAGGAGCGATAGGCAGGTGGACGCGTTGTGAAAGGAACAGGAGGAAAGATGGTGAGAAGGAAGGGAATCCGGAAAGTGAGCAATGGGGAAGGAGGAGAAGGGATGAGGAGGACGTGGGGCAGGATTAACCTGAGAAAGGGATTAAAGATCTCAGTGTGAGACCTAAAACTGCAGAGCTCCTAGAAGAAAGGGAAAATGTTTCATGACATCGGACTTGGCAATGATTTCTTAGATGTGACGCCCAAAGCACAGGCAACAAAAGCAAAACTAGACAAGTAGGACTTAAAATTAAAAACTTTTGTGCATCAGAGGACACAGTCAACAGAGTGAAAAGGCAACCCACAGAACGGGAGACCATTTTTAAAAATCATCTATTGGATAAGGGGTTAAAATCCAGAATATTATAAAGAACTGCCCCTCTAACAACAAAAGATCAAAGAACTTGGTTAATACATAGGCAAAGGACTTGAATAAACATTTCTTCGAAGGTGATATACAAATGACCAACAAATATATGCAAAGAAGCCCAACATGATTAGTCATTAGAGAAATGCAAATCAAAACCACAATGAGATATCACCTCACACCCATTAGGATGGATGCTCTGAAAAACACAGAAAAGAACAAGTGTGAGGATGTGGAGAAGTTGGGGCCCTCGCACTCTGTTAGTGGGATTGTACAATGAAATGATGCCACGATTGAAAACAGTATAGAGATATATATCCAAATGAATTGAAATCAGGAAAAAAATAACTGAAACCAGGATCGTGAAGAGGTGAGTATCTGCCTTCCAATGTTCCTTACAGCATTATTCACAGCTGCGAAGATATGGGAGCAACCAAACGTCCATCTACAGATGACTAGGAAAGAGTGGCATTTGCATACAATGAAAGAGCATTCAGCCTTAAAAAGGAAGAAAGGCCTGTCACAGGATACCACATAGATGAATCTTGAGAACATAATGCTAAGTGAAAGAAGCCAGTCACAAAAAGACTTATTGTAGCCCGGCTAGAGTGGCTCGGTTGGTTGAAAGTTGTCGACCAGTGCACAGAAAGGTTGCCGGTTCAATTCCCAGTCAGGGCACATACCTGGGTTGCGGGTTCGATCCCCAGCCCCAGTCGGGGTGCGTGTGGGGAGACAACAGATTGATGTTTCTCTCTCCTCTCTCTCCCCTCTCTCCCTTTCTCTCTCTCTCTCTAAGCATGTCCTTGGGTGTGAGGATTAAAAAAGGAAAACAGTAGATTCCACTTAAATAAGGTATCTAAGTAGTCATTTTCACAAAAACATAAAGTACAACGGTGGTTCCCGGGGGCTAGGGGGAGTCAGGAGGGGAGGTGCTGTTCCACGGGCACAGAGCTTCCAATTTGCAAAATGAAAATTTCTGGAGCTCTGTTTCACAGCCATGTGACTATACTTAACACGACTGAACTGCACACCTAACATGGTAACTTTCCTGGTGTGTTTTTTACCACAATAATTTTAAAAAATAATAATGACAAAAAAGGAAAAAGAAAAAAAACTGAGCAACACTGAAGCTATAGGTCCAAGAGAGGTTGGCTGTGACTCTAAACTTTTACCAGCGAGAGAAGAACTGCAAGCCTCGGCCCGGTGATCCCCTCCCTCCCGGGGCCCCTCTCCCTCCGTGTGTGTGTGTGTGTGTGTGTGTGTGTGTGTGTGTGTGTAGGAGGGGTGGGGGCGGAGAGGAGGCTGGGATAAACACGCAGATTGCCCATTGTAGAGTGGACTGGGACATATGGAGCTCGGCACAGCTGCCCCAGCTCAGTGGCTCCCAGCCCACACCCCACTCCCAAACGCACCACCGCGGACAGCAGGCCCTGCACCCTGTCCACTAGAATCAGGGGAAGGCATCTCCTCTGGCCATGCTCCCCCTGCTCAGAACCAGCTCTTTGCTCTAGCTCTGACCTCAACAGCCTCAGACCTTCCCCTGCAAGGAAGATTGGAGAAAGGGAACATAATCAGCTCCCACAGCCCCAGGTCAGTTCAGACATGGCCTGCAGAAGAGGATGTGGACAGCTTCGTGGGGCCACCATGATGGAGCTTAGCTAAGGTTTGCTGTCCCTGGGGTCAGAGGAGGGCAGGGCAGGGCAGCAGGAATACGGCCTGGGAAGGCTGGGGAAAGGGCTCTCCTTTAAGGGGTGTTAAGCGGGCACAGTGGACCACTCACTGTGAGCTCAGCTCCCTCACGGTCACCATCCTCCTTCCTCATCAGCCTCGGTTCTCCTGCCTGACAGACACTCTCCAGGGGTCAGGCACCCCCGAGCTTGCCCACCCCACTGCGCAGAAGGCAGGCTCAAGTGTAGTTGACAAATAGTTACTAAGCTGGGGGGGTGGTGCAAGGTCATCATCTGACTGGCACATACACACCCAACAATAACACAAAACAGAAGGTGGTTAGTCCTGAAATGTAGAACACACTCCATCTTCTGGGGTCCAAAGGAACAAGAGGGGGTGGCAATAGTGGGGGAGGCCCCACAATCACCATCTCCCGGCACATGTTCAGTTGCCCAACTCCCCACCCCCGTGCTTCAGGAGTCCAGCTGTGGGATCGCAACACATCTATCACAGCCCCATCCTCCCTCTGTCCCCATGTTCCTGCACCCTGATCGCCTTGCCATGCCCTCCCTCCCCCTCTGTCTGCTCCCAGCCGGCCCCCTGCCCCATGTCCACCTGGCCCACTCTCCTCCCCAGCTCCAGTCCCGGCAGCAGCTTCTATTTCCCCATCGAGTCCTCACCCCCAAATCCACTTCCGGTCTCACATTTCCAGGCTCCGAGGATCAAGGACGGCAGCGTTGCCAAGCATCCAGGACAAGACTTCCTGCCCCACTCCGGCCATCCCCAACCCGACCGAGAACAGGTAGGCACCGAATCAGAGGGGAGGAGTGGGAAGAGGGAGGTGCAGGGTGGGAAGACACAACACACTAGAGAGAGAACTAAAGGGAGGCTCTGGGAGGGGACTGGAGCCAGAGGGGGAGGGACACGCCCACCCCTCCCCAGCCCATGGTCCCCCCTTTACCTAGGAGGACCCTGTGAGGGGATCCAAGCTGGCAGGACAGGGGCAGCGTTGACAGCCCCAGACTCCTCTGGCTGCTCAGAGCTCATCCGTCTGCAAAGTTAGTGACCAGCTTTCTAGAGCTCTCGGGGGCAGCGTGGCATGGCTGCGCAGGCTCCAGGGCAGATGAGAGGGGCACACATAGTGGGGCTATAGGACCAGGAGGAAGGGGTGGGCTCGACCAGGTACTGGGGCCACCAGTACTCACACACACGCACACACACTCACAGACACATACACACCTGAGCTGACCCAGCCCTATGTGTGTATATATGGAGATACACACACACACCCCCAGCTCTCCATTGGCTGGCCCAGGCTCCCCCCTCATCAATATTAAACAGACAGGCCAGGCAGCCATTGGCAGAAGGACCTGGGAACCCCCCTAACCCTGGGAGCTGGGGATTGGGGGCTGGCCCTGGGGGTGGGGGGGGGCAGGCAGTAGGGGAGCAGGGACATCTGTTCTCCATGCATATTTCATAAGCAAGAAATGGAGAGCTGGGGAAGGGGTGGGGCTGGGGCGAGAGCCAGGGCAGGAGCCCAGAGAGCCCCTGAGCCTCTCAGAAGAGGCAGCAGGGACAGAGTCCCTCAGCAAGCTCAATGTTAGTGCCATGGTCCCAGTGTAAGTCCCCGCACGACTTTGACAGCTCCTCCCCGTGTCTCCGCTGCCCTGGGAAGAAGGCTCCGCTGGCACTAACAGGGAAGTCTCGAAAAGCACAGTGGCCAGCACAGCACTAAGATGCAGCAGAGAGCGCGAGAGTCCTTGCCCTCACCAAGCTCTCCTTCTCCAAAGCTGGGACCACCGCCCCCTTGCCACGCTGCCTGTGGCTGCTTTCCAGGCCCTGCCCTCATCCCTGTGGAACTCAATCACCCCCGCTTCTTATCCCAGCCCCCGTTCTTCCACCCACCCCATCACCTGGGGCGGCAGGATCAGATTCCTGACACAGATCCCCGTAGGCGTTTTTCTAGGCTGCCCATCCCAACCTGACCCCCTGGGAAAAAGGTGCTCTTAGGAGGAAAGTCGGCTAAACAGAGCAACGTGGAGGAGAGAGGAAAACGCAGCATGTGAAGGACTCTGGGGTAGGAGGGCAGGGCAGCCCGGGCAGACTTCACGTTTGCTGGAGTATCTAATGAGCAGTAAGAAAACTAGATACAAAATTATATGCAAATGGGCACTGATTAAGTTCCTATCAATAGCTGAGCTGCCTCCAGCCTGCATGTGTGTGTGTGCGTGTGTGTGTGCATGTGCGTGTGTGTGCGTGTGTGTGTGTGTGTGTGTGTGTGTGTGTGTGTGTGGTGGAGTGGCAGGAGCTGGGACCTAGGGAAGCACAGGAGGTAACGGGCTAGGTGTCCGTATCTGAAGTTCTCTGCCCCACTCAGCTGTTGAATGTCTGCTGAACCTTTGCGAGGGTCCAGAAGCAACCATGGCTGGGGGACCGCAGAAACAGCATGCTACAGTGAAGAGACCCCTACCAGCTGTGTGGCCTCCGACGAGTAACATCAACCAGGAGCTGGGACCTAGGGAAGCATAGGAGGCAACGGGCTAGGTGTCCGTATCTGAAGTTCTCTGCCCCACTCAGCTGTTGAATGTCTGCTGAACCT